GAGGTCGAACCCTGAACAGTTGGGGCTAATTTGGACACAATATTCAAGCTTGATACTATCTGAATTTGGATTGTGAACAAATTTTTGACATAATATAGGTTTCTGACACAAATTAAATATGGTCAAAGATCTTACAAATGTAATGTGCAATACTGTGCAATAGAAGATTTCTTCTTGAAACTTTTCAAAAATTAGAAATTCGAAAAATTTGTGGAAAAAAATATGAACCCCTTAAAAAAAATTGGAACCCCCCCTCCCCAAACTTTTCGAACCCCCTTTGGAGCATTAACCATCAAACTCAATCCTAGTCTTTCCTTTGTAGTATGGAACCATTTAAAGGGAGGTTTACTTTAATGCAAAAAAACCCAAACAAAGAATAATCAATTCTGAGTATACAAATTTATTACCACTGAACCCTTTGATATACACTATTATGATATTGTATGTATTTAAATCACAGTATTTGATGTTTCTAGAAACAGCTAAAATATATTTCATACTAGAACTAGCAAACAAATAGCAAAAAGTTCCAACATAAAGAAACAAGGCTAAAGTAATTGTCCATTAACCAGGAAACCCTTGTTTTTCCCCCTTTTTTGCCCCCTAATTCCTAAACAGATTGAGCCATAACAACCCCCCCCCCCCCCAAAGCCAATCCTAACCATCCATTTGTGGTATGGAAACTTGTGGTACAATTTCAGACAATTCTATACACTGTTTCACAAGTTATTGTCTGGACACTAGAAAAATGTTTATTTTGGCCCCTAATTCCTAAACCATAGGGACCATAACCCCCAAAATCCATCCCAACCTTCCTTTTGTGGTTTCAAACCTTGTGTTTAAATTTCATAGATTTATATTTACTTATACTAAAGTTATTGGCAAATTTCCAATGGAGTTTATTATACTTAAGTTATTGGCAAATTTCCAATGGAATTTATTAATACTAAAGTTATTGGCAAATTTCCAAGATACATAATTTAAAAGCAGTGTAAGTGAGGTAATTCAAATGTATTTGAATTAACTCCCTTACACAGCTTATAAATTATGTTTTATGAACCTTCAAACCCTTGTTTTTCCCCCTTTTTTGCCCCTTATTCCTTAACCGTTTGAGCCATAACCCCCAAAAACAATTCTTACCATCCCTTTGTGGTATGGAAGCTTGTGTTATAATTTCAGAGAGATCCATACACCATTCCACAAGTTATTGTTTGGAAACTAGAAAAATGATTATTTGGTCTCTTTTTTTGGCCCCTACTTTCTAAACTGATGGGACCAAAACTCCCAAAATCAATCCCAACCTTCCTTTTGTGGTCATAAACCTTGTGTTTAAATTTCATAGATTTCTATTTACTTTATTAAAAACATTTTGCGGTCGTATAAAAACATACAAGAATAACAAAAGGCCAGAGGCTACTGGCTTGGGACAGGTGCATTAAAATGCTCCGCTGGGCGCAGCTTGATACGACTGCAGAGGTGGAACCCTGAACAGTTGGGGCAAGTATGGACACAACATTTAAGCTTGATACAGCACTGAATTTGGATTGTGATTAAATATTTGACACAGCATAGGTTTCTGACACAGAATGAATGTGGTCTAAGAACTTAACTAATTTAATTTACCTATTCAAACCATATCATTATTATTTGCTTTTATATATAAATCAGAAATAACCAATTTAAAATGGAAAATTTTTAAGAAAAAAAAAGGAAACCCCCCCCCCCAAATTTTTTGAACCCCCTTATGATTCATCACCCCCAAACTCAATCCCAGCCTTCCCTTTGTGGTATGGTACCTTGCAGTACAATTTCAGAGAGATCCATACACTTGAACACAAGTTATTGTCTGGAAACTAGAAAAATGCTTTTTTTTTGGCCCCTTTTTGGCCCTAAATTCCTAAACGTTTAGGGCAATTACCCCCAAACTCAAATCGAGCTTTCCCTTTGTAATATGGAATCTTGTAGTACAATTTCATAAAGATCCATACACTTACACACAAGTCATTGTCCTGAAACTAGAAAAATGCTGTTTTTTTTGCCCCTTTTTGGCCCCTAATTCCTAAAATTTGAGGCAATTACCCCCCAAATCAATCCCAGCGTTATCTTTATGGTATGGTACCTTGCAGTACAATTTCAGAGAGATCCATACACTTGAACACAAGTTATTGTCTGGAAACTAGAAAAATGCTTATTTTTGGCCCCTTATTCCTAAACGTTTTGGGCAATTACCCCCAAACTCAATTCCAGCTTTCCCTTTGTGATATGGAACCTTGCAGTACAATTTCATAGAGATCCATACACTTACACACAAGTTATTGTCATGAAACTAGAAAAATGCTTGTTTTTTGCCCCTTTTTTGGCCCCTAATTCTTAAAATTTGGAGGCAATTACCCCCAAAATCAATCCCAGCCTTCCCTTTGTGATATGGAACCTTGTGGTACAATGTCAGAGAGATCCATACACTAACACACAAGTTATGTCTGGAAGTTACAAAAATGCTTATTTTTGGCCCCTTATTCCTTAACTGTTGGTACCAAAACCCCCAAAATCAATCCCAACCTTCCTTTTGTGGTATTGAACCTTATGGTAAAATTTCATAGAGATCCATTCACTTAAACTAAAGTTAGAGTGCGAAAACCAATGTGTCTTCTGACGACGACGCCAACGTCATACCAATATATGACGTGGTCGTATAAAAATGCGCATATGTCCTACCTTCTGCGACTTCTCAAATTTCAAATGACTCTATTCTTACTCTCTTTATATACGAACTTATTGCTACCTGTAACGTCTATGTTATATAGGCACCTACGTTTTAATATTGTATTTAAATTGTGTCATAGGTCAAACTTATTCGTTCAGTGTATGTCTACTTGTTTTTGTTTAAATGTCTTTTTGATCGAGTTAAGCCATTTCGATTGATATTTTATAGTGGGTCTTTTTATGTTGTAATGTTACACTACTGTCTCAGGATAAGGTAAAGATTGGCGCCTATTAAAGCGTCTAAACCCGCTGCATTTTTATGCACCTGTCCTAAGTCAGGAGCCTGTTGATCAGTGGTTGTCATTTGTTGGTGTGGTTCATAGGTGTTTCTCGTTTCTCGTTTTTTATATAGATTAGATTGAATTGTTTGACACTAGTCATTTATAGCTTGCTGTTTGGTGAGAGCAAAGTCTCCATGTTGAAGGCCGTACTTTGACCTATATTTGATAACTTTTTATACATTGTGACTTGGATGGAGAGTTGTCTCATTGGCACTTCATACCACATCTTCTTATTTATAATTATGGATTATAATAGGGCCATAACTTTAAAATTAGTGACATTGATAAAAACCCATTTAAATTAATGTTGTTTAATGAAGGAGGCTTACCCAAGTAATGGAGAAACCCAAACTTTTTGAAAATTTCCACCTTATAAAGGAGTGCAACTTTGACCCAAAAAATTTACCTGTCAAATTTGCTCTGTTTCTACATGAGCTAGTACCTATACAATATTTCCTTAGGAGGTATGATAAGGGCATTTTTGGACCCTAAAATTTGAGATAAAAAGGTATAATAATATCAATCAAATAACATTCTTCAGATGTTTCAGATATTCGCATTGATATTGTTGATTTGTCTAGTTCCTTGAAGGATTCAAGTTTCTTGCTTTTATTCAAAAATTGCAAAAACTGTAAAAGCTAAACTTTGAAATCTTGTCATCAAATTTTAAATACAAACCTAGGCCTTACCAATGCAAAATTATTTTGCAAACATATGTCGTTAAGACACAGATGTTAATGTAAAAAAATCTTTTTAAATATTAATGTCTTTGACTCATATTTGATTTTGCGAAAGACTAGACTTTGTGTAAAATGGCCATTTTAGATAAACATTGAAATGTCAACTTGTGCATAATGACACAACAAATGGCAACTCTTTTCTATACAGGTATGTTTAAATTATAAAAGCTTCATAATCATATATCAATAAAAGTAAAATATTTTGGAAAGGATTAAAGAATCTAATTTTTTTATGCAATATCAGGGGTTTAGAAAACAGCTGTATTCATACATCCACCTTTCAAATGGATAAGTTGAGTCTTAGACAAGTTTTCTTTCTAAAACCCAAAATTTTGATTTTTTTTTAACTTTAATCAAAGAAGTAAAACTGGATAGACAAAGAGAAATCCATCAAAATTGGGGATTACAGGTGTGTTAAATGCTCCCTGACAATATTCCCAAATTTTAAACGAATTTGGTCAAGGCTCTCTAAAGCTATTGTATGGAATACAAATGTTTATCTATTTTCTATTAACTCAAGTTAAAAAAGAAAAGTAAAATTAATAAGTCAATGGAGGAGTCATGATAACCATTATTGTAAAAATAGTAAAAAATATTAATGCCTTTTGAAATTATGTAACTTTAAACGTGTTGTCAATATGAAAAACTATGAATGAATGAAAGCTTACTGCAGATTGAACACATATAAAGCAAAAAATAAATCATCAACAGGTCTCGCTATACCTTCCTAAAAATAACAATTTTAACTGTTATATAAACAAGCTCATCTATTGTTTGAAACTTGTTGGGTAAAATGTGAGTTGGATTTTTCAAATGTTGGAGAATCGTGACTAAGCCACCGTAATCTGTACACTAAGTTACACCTTTGATGTCACTTTGATTGATGTCATAAATATAACAAACTTTGACATATTTACCTAAATGGCAATTTTGCAGACATTTTGGACCTAAAAAGGAAATTTTGCAGACATATTGATCAATTTTGCACATATTTTTTAGACAAAAATGATATCAGTCAAGGCCTTACCCAATAGATATTTTATACACATTACAATTTTTGTAAAATACATCTTGAAGCAAAATATCTTTTTTGGTAAAGCCTTCGCTCATATTTATATATGAAAGACAAGTTCTCAAAATGAGGCTATTTTGGCAGTTTTGCACTATATGCAAGAAGTTTTAGTCCTAATGCCTGTCCTTTTTAAAAACATTCAACTTATTTTCGACTTTTTATTTTAAATAAAATATTTATAAAATAAAAATTACATAATTTATAAATATTAAAATAATCACTCCCATGATATCACATTTTAAAATCTCTACTATCATGAACTCTCATTTGTAACGTCTTTTACACTTGCTGACGAGGATTTCTTTGTGAGACCATCAAGGTTCATCTCCGAAGAGTCTGTGATTGCGTTTTGTGCATTTAATATTTTGTCTATGAGTGCAAATTCTTGACTTTTTTCTTCAACTTCTTCTATAGGTGTCCATGACAAATCATACTCAAGTTTGTATGCTCCAACAAATATATGTGGGCATCCTGCTCCCCATTCCTGAAAACATAACATGTTACAGACAGGTTCATGTATAATCAGCATTTTACATTTTTGTAGTTTGAAATGTATGTTGCATTTCTAAATTCAAAATAATTAATCTTCCATTGAGTACCTCTAGACCTTGTGTTCTTTTAATTTAGGCCTCAATTATCTAATATTTACTGAGTGAGGTTAGGAAAATAGGTTGTAGGTTATTGTCAATTCTGTTAGATAGTGTGCATCTTCACTAGCCAAGGGTTACGATCCAGTCCCCTCCTCTCCACCCTTGGCAGATTAAGATAGAATTTAGGATCCATAAGGTAATGAATTCCATTGGTTGCAGTTGTAACTGGCTGCATCCAATCAAAATGCACCTTTAAGATGATCATGTGTTAATGTAGAAAATGTAAATAATCAATTGCAGCCTCCTGATTTCACAAGTCTTTACCCCCCAAAACATAGGACGATATTTAAGGACAATTTTAAAGTTCTTAATCAAGTAATTAAAGTTCCTGGGTATGTTTCTAGCGCAAATGTTGGAATGTCAGCGTAAATTTTTGATTTCTGCCTCACGGAACTTGTAAACACTAGACACAACCATTTTAAACCTCCACACTGAAGAGAGTACAAGTGCTGCCATTGGTCAAGAATGATGTAGTCAGAATGGGCCTGACTTTTATCTACCAGTAGATGGCACAGCATTGTAATCACAAATGCTGGCTTAATCTGCCAAGGGTCGAGAGGAGGGGACTAGATCGTAAACCTTGGTTAGGGAAGATAGATAATGTGAAAAAGAAAAGCATGTTGAGATGTTATTTGGGATACTGGCTTAATCTAAAATGTACAAATCTTGTCAGAAAGGTTTCTTGTTTCAGTAAAGAAATAATTAAAGTGAAAGTATTATTTTTCATGTGGCACTATTACAATTTCCAGTATTTCATTGTTTCCTTGAACCATGAAATTTAGAACCTAACGAAATGCATATTTATCATTCAGTTCAATGTGTTAATCTTAAAACCAAGAATTTAAAACCAAATGTATCAATGATGATTTTTGCAAAGACAATGAAAATTGATACACATCAAGAAAAGTATTTCTACAGTATAGAACTAATTGTATGGGATAGTTAAATGGGCCAGAACATTTGTAGCAGTAGTAAAATTTTGCCAAAACTTCTTGCAAATTTAATTATGAAAATCTTTTATCATGAGCTACTATCATAGAAAAAGAATTTGTGTTCTTAGGACATTATGTTCTGCTTGCACTATCATATGCAAATGTTCAGTAAAGAAAACATAATGCCCCTACTACCTTTTACAGAGCATGAAAATCAGTACCTGAAAGTGTCATTTTTGCTGGGGAAAAAACCCCATTGATTTCAATACCCAGTTTTGTTTTACTAAGCAAGCAAATGTACAAAGATCAATATATATTACTGGTTTAATAGTTATATATAAAGGTCATCTCAAATGTTGTTTTCTTTTTATTTTCAAACTATTTTGAGTCTCAATTCCCAATTATAGTAAATCAGAGTTGTTTCCCTTGGATTGTGTGAGAGTTTTTAAATTATTGATGTTTAAACTAAAATTTATGCATGAAAAGTATTTATATGAACAGATAGTTTCAAGTAAGGCATATGAAATAAAACTCCATCAATTAGTGATTGCAGATTTTCATTAATGGACAAAATTTCAGTTGGAGGAAATGTTAATAACTATAACTTAACTGATTTTGTAATAGGAAGAGAATAACTAATCATTCTATTTGATTCAATTTCTTCAAAAAAAGATTCTTTGTGTCGTCTCATTATTTTTACATTTTTGTTAAAAGTGATCATAAGAAAATGACCTTAACCTACCTCAGGTGACAGTATTGACATGTATTTTTGTCCTGATTCTCGCTCATACATGTAATACATTGTACCAGGTCTCTTTACTAAATTACACGCTGCATGATGTATGATGTTATCTCTTTTGGCATCTTCTAAATGCTGCAAGTATATATAAAAAAAATTGGTTTCAGTAAGCATTTGCAAATATTTAAAATTGACCTTTTTAAAATCAAACCCTGTCCATTTCAAATCCTTGTTTAAACTATGCTGCCAGGAATTTTGTAAATGGGCATGATAATTTTCTTAGTGTCAAGAGTTTCGGTTGAATTCAATAACAGCTTTTATAATTTTTGTAGTTTAGGTTGAACTTGTAATGCTTCTGAAGTTCAATTTTACATCATTCTTTCCTTCTTTTTAGATATAACCATAATGATGAGCAGGAGCTCACGTCACATAAAATTATCGATACAGTGAAAAATTTGATTCACCTAACCAAAATTTAGAATTATCAATGGTTGTAATGGCACTGACCTTTTTAGCTTGTTCCTGAAGGTATCTTATCTGATCAGCTATTACTGTTAATTTACTTCCCACTCTTGCTTTTGTCATTTCATCTGCCTGAAAAAATACAAATCAATATTTATGCTGCAGTTAGAACACTTCCTGTTGTCTTTATCTACCAAAAATAGTAAAGAAGTGATATTTCGTGCAATATCAATGTCATGTCATGTTTCTTCACAATTTGGGGTTCGTTAAGGGATGGAAAATATGTTTATTTTTATTTATAGGTATAGAACCACTAATTCAGGCCCGGTCGGAAAGAACATACAAGAAAGTAGTACATATTTTAAACAAAATAGTTCCTACGCATAGCTGTATCTTTGTCAATAGTGGGAATATTTGGGTAGTTTTAGTATCAAATGAAAGCTTGGGGACTTGGGATCACTGTAGAACCCTTGTTGAAAGTTTTATTTGAATAATAAAGAAGTATATGAAATTTTAATAGGAGGGCTCATTTGGCCTGTTGTTCAGATCAGAAGTTCCTGTTTTTGTACTATCAAACTTCCGGGAACCAGTACGCTCTAATATGCAATTAAAGGTATGTTGTTTTTTTCAGCACAAGTCAGGATAAGGTACAGTTTTGACATGAAATAACTGCCACTTTATTTGAACTTAAGACAAAGTAGCCATTAATGCTTGAAATTGCAGAATTTAACATAGAAAGCAATAGGGCTATGAATTAGTGGTTTTATATCTATTACATTTTCATAACTATAACTATAACCATTTTCATAACTATAACTATAACCATTTTCATCGCTTTTTTGTGTATTTTTCCTTGAATCTTTTATTGTGATAGTTTTTCATATCATGCTACTTGCTTGAGGTAGAAAATTATTGTCAGAAACTAAGGGTGCACGCAGCAGCACGTGCCATTGTCAATGTAAACAGATTTTCAATTGTTTTCAAACACGAGGATCTTTCTCTGCAACATCTCATCTCAAGGCTGTCGTCCTTCGATGAGATTACAGCTTTGAAACACCCTCTCGTTTGAAAAACTATCGATAATCTATAATTATCTGCAGTATAATATAAAATTTTATTAGGTCAATGTCAGAAAAATATCAGCTTTATTGTATTCGACACGAAACAGTTGAAGGGCTCAGTAAACCCTTCTCCAGTTTCTAAGTCCCAATACAAAAAAGTTGAAAATTTTCTGACATTGACCTTATCTTGTATATATATCTACATTGTTACAAAAAGTTTAATAACTACCATTAACTAAATTTACTGCCCTCAACTTTTTTACAGGAAAATAACATGACTCAAAAGGCCAGTGTGAACTTTCTTATTGCTTATTTAGTTACTATTAAACTGTCCTGTCTTAAACTCTTTGTCAGCCCTTTCAAAGGGTTTTATTGTCATTTTGATACTCTTTTATCCCGGTCAACTTTTTATGGCATTTACATTAATTGTCCCTTCAATACTGAAGTACCATGCTTCTCTTAATACCTGGGAGAAAGTCGAGACAGTATTACACAGAGATTACATATCAAGTATTACATAGTTTATTTTGAGCCCTATCAAAAATTGATGACAATGCAAAAATTAACAAAAAATCAAGATTAATCATCAAATGTATAAAAATTTGATTAAAATATAGATGTTATTATGTATTAAAATAAATCAAACAACATGATCAAAGGATATGTTAAAAAAAAATCAATTCCATGTGTGCTGAGAAATGCATCTATCAACATACTGACACTCTTAAAATACCATGGTTAATCATTAAACATACATTTTCAAATGTCATCAAAGTCTAAAATTAATGTTTGTTTTTATAAGTAAATTTATGAAGTTTGTCAAAGGAATTAGTGCTGGTGTACTTAACAGACATGTCCCCAAGTCTGGAGGCTTCATCATCATCTTACAATGTAATTTCTTTTATATACAGAAAAGGATACATAAAAACAAGCTCATTAAAGAAACCAGGATTATAATTTTGTATGTCTAGTATACAAAAGACTCATCAGTGACATTTAAATTACAAAAATTTATAAAGAACAAATAACCTACGAAGTTGAAAAGCATTAAGGGCCTTAAATTCTAAAAGGTTTTGCCAAATATATCTTAGTTAAACTTCCTGGGGAGGAAAATCCTTAGTTTTTCGAACAATTCAGTACTTTAATAAATTTCCAAATACCCCTGGTAATAAAATGTATGGTGCATAAAATTAATGTACATTTAAGATTACCTTTTGAATTGTCTGTGCTAATGCTACCAGGTCCATAGGATCTGCATGTTTGTTAGTTCTTTCTGTATTAACTAGCTGTACACCTGTAGGCCGCCTATTAGCCTCCACTAACTGAACTAATAAACAAATCTGATTAATCAATATTGCATATATAATCATTACCCTTTCAAAACAAATCTACTATCACTGACAGTGACTATAATAATGGGACAAAATAATTAAGTAATAATGATTTCTCAAAACCCTTTAAGATGATCATTGTAAAGAAACATAGAAGAATACCAGGAAAATCCTTTTTTTTTTGTAAAAACAACATTTCATAGTCTGGGTCAATAGAAAAAGTAATTGACGCCTTGATAATGTATCATGCTTAGGAACAGAATTGACTTTGAAACATTATACAGGTGACCTGCCACACTTAACCTACGACATTGCAACACTTGAACTATGGACATCATACAATAATCACTTTTGCTGTTTTGTATTGTGGTGTCAAACATTTTCTTTTGCAACATCAAAATTTTATGGGAACTTTTGTGATGTCCAGTAATGGCAGACAAATAGTGATAAGGTTTAATATTCTAATTAGAATCTTTGAACACATGCTCACAAGATGAGTTAAGTCCACTTTAATCTTGTTTACAATGACACCATTCATACAATTTTTTTTTAATTTGATAATTATCACTAATATCAGTGTATCTGATTGTCTCCCTTTGGGATATCCAAGATAAAATACTATTTTTTTTTCTCACAAAAAAAGTGATTTTAAAGCTTTTTTCATGATCATGGATTCAGGACAAACAGTTAAAATCATGTCAATGTAGTTCATGCCTTAACAGGTCAGTTGGCAGGTACATATATTTTTTTGCCTTTCCCTCTGACATGTCTGTTTATCTTATGACCCTGGCAAACATTATATCTCGGACCAATAGGTTATGTATTTGTCCTGGATATAACATATCGCTATTTAGACATCTGCAACATTTCATGGGGAACCTTTGTGAAGCCCAATAATGTCACACAAATAGCAATGATAAGGTGTATTATATGCAAGGAACAGCTAATCAAAATTTATTAGTATGGTTATGTTTGGTTTGGTCACTGTGCAGCATTGATAGTAAAAAAAATATCAGATAAAAAACATTGAAAGCAAACGATGTGGACCTACGAAGGCTTATATTATAGGACTAGTTTTGTCATACATTTGTAGCTTGGAGCAAACATACATTGCTGTTTGGTCTTACTAATAGTACATTTTGTATAATGAACAATACATATATAAACAAAACAGGCAGACGTTTCTCCAGGAAAAAGAGTGTCCTATATAAATAAGTTTTATGTAACTTTACCTGCATGTTTATTTATGATATTGTAATGCAATACTTTCTAGCTTTTTGTATGTATTTGAATGGTTTTTAAACTTTTCACGCACTACACGTTTACGAAAAAATAAACAATTTAAAAGCCACATGAAGTTAAACGTGTTTTTACATTACATAACATAATTTGTCAATAAATGTTTACCGCTATATTAATTTTTAATGTGCATTCCTTTGTTGTTTATATTTATAATTTTAGTGCAGATAAAGTTTGCAAAATTTACCCGCTTGAAGATTCGAATAAGTAGGATCTGTCATTTTTATCCGGCAAATTTCAATATTTCTGTGTTGTTATCGCATCGAAGATGAAAGCGGAAATGAGAGTAACTCCGTGACTGTCAAGGTATATATAGGGAATCCCCGCAACGTCATATGTTTGGCCAATCAAATCCTATATTTATGAAAATTGTGAGATCGGATCCAACAGAGACCCTAAAAAAGAAATGAAAAGAAAAGAACCGAATAACCACGAACTTAATTCTTATTTTATAACTAATAAACTTAAAGGGGAATTAGCTGTCAAATTCATGTTCATCGATTTGTTACAAAAATACCCTAATTACAAAAAGTCTACAATAAACAAGGCACTGGCTACGGTTACATGGAAATGTAACAATAATAATAAAATTATTGTTACATTGGAGACTAATTGCCGGAATACAAGGTTGGGTAAGGATCCGATTAATTATGTAACAATAATATTTGAGTCTACGGTTACATTGCGTTATCGTTACATATTAATTATGCACTTCAATGTAAGCTAGATTTATTAAACTTAAACCTTACAGTTTTGATGCTGAATTGTTTTCGCCAATAAGAACGAAGTTACGATCACATAATATCTGGACTCAGAAAATGAAAGCACTAATTCCACCAGTTTCAACATGTCGGCAAATGTTAACATTACTGAATTGCCTTCACAATATAACATAAACATCGCAAGATTAAAAAAATATTTTTTCAGTATGAATCATGACAGACATTGAAAGTTTCTTTAAACTTCAAAAAGGGATAGTGCAAAATGTAATTGTACAGTATGCAATACAGACGTGGACCGTGTGATTGCTGCATCACTTGTTTGTGATGGCTGCTTAGTGGTTTCACTAAAATGCGTGGGACTAAATCATGCTGCCATAAACAACATACGGGATTTGTAGAATTGACATTGTAAATAAAAAAATTAAAAATTGTATGCAATATTGCAAAATTCAAATAAAAGTTTTCAAGTTTTATTTTGCATTAATGTAACAATAACGCAATGTAACCGTAGACTCAATTATTATTGTTACACTCGTAATTAATCGGTTCCTTACCCAACACTGCATTCCGGCAATTAGTCTCCAATGTAACAATAATTATTCTATTATTGTTACATTTCCATGTAACCGTAGCCAGTGCCAATAAACAATGCATGGACGCGATAATATATATCAGCATTTCGTGACGGTGTATTTTAGTCTACATGTTCTAGATACCATGAAATTAACCATCGAAAAACTGTCGAATGTCATATAACCCAGTATAAACATAAATATAAATATAAAAAGATAGAGACCACGTGGCGAATTGGATTTTTGTAGGTCTGTTTGATTTCATGTTAGTAGGTTAAAACAATACGTTAATCATCGTTTTTACCTGTATAAGATTTTTTTATGGGTCGAATCAGTCAACGAAATGATTCACCCTTGTTTCACTTTCAATGTGACATTAATTTCCTTTTATTGCTAAACACGCCTATAACATGCGTAACCCATTTCCAGCTAGGGGTTAAATTGAAGTTCACATAAATACAGATATACATGAGGTAGAATTATTTACTTGCAAGTGAATAATACATCAAATTTGGGCCATACTAACTGCTTACAACGAAATATTATTTAAAAATTCCGCCTTTATTTATACTTGAAACAAAGAGAATCGCAGTTTGAATTTTTGTCTAACTCGTAGCTAATTCCCATTTTAGGACATCGTATAAAGTAGTGGTCAATATCACGGAATTTTATGCACCAAACACATTGCTAGTAGAATCTAAATAGTCAACGGTATGATAATACTCCCCTAGGAGCTAGCCTGTACTTTACCGGAAGAAGAACTAGAGCATAGGGAACTCAGTGCATATGAGTATCGGCATAATATATTGACTCTAAGGATGACATATATGTTACCATTTTCGATCAGTAATTTCAGACATCAAATCAAATATTCCTAGAAATCGAAGATAAACGTATAGAATATATAGATTATTGCTATAAATGGTTCAGCAATTTTACTTGAAATTCATTATTTTTCCAAAACCAGGTCTCACAAATTTTCTATAAAAATGACAATTTATTGTCAATGAACTGTCCGTTATACTGATGGAAATGTGTAGGGGGTCACCGATGTTGATTTGAATAACGAAGTCTTCTGCACAGGATAAAAACAACAAATCAAACAAAATAATACACACAAAAAAAAAACACAAGCAGGCATTCAAAAGTAAGAGTGCAGTTGTGAACACATTAAACAAGTGAAAAGTAGTTAAAGTATTACAGGATTGTAACAGTAAAATAAAAGAGAAAAACGGGGGCTATTCCCGAAGCGACTAACAGTGTTTTTGCTGTTGTTATATATATATATATATATATATTTATTCAAGATAAAAGGCATGAAATTGACAGACACAATACAGTATAGTGATATACATATATATTACTAGACATGAATAGGATTTTACAGTTACAAACACCAAAATGATTTACAGTAATGATCACTAAAAATAATAAAAGATAAATTATGGTAATTTTCATAATTTTAATATTTGACAATGCTGTAATAATAAATTAAATGGACTAGATTTCAACTGCAGCCTAATACCTTGGAATGACCCACAAAACTTAATGAAACTTATTTTCAGTGAGGTCCCTTTAAGAAGAGACTACCAGTTTACACCAAGCTTGACACATATAAATAACACTGAATAATTTAAAATTATCACAGATAAAGGCTCAAAGCCTCAATAAAATTGATAAAAAAACAAATTCACTATTAAATTACTCTTACTATACAAATCCTTGCTTGTACTTTAAAATTATATTTCTACGAGCAACTTTTAACTATTTCTGGAAGCGAGTTCCAATCTTTTATTCCATTATAGAAAAGTGGTAGATTTACACCCTTTAATTCCAGGTATATAAAAATTCATGTTACTAGATCTTGTGTTAAAAAATTTTTCATTTCTAAAAAATTTAGTATGCAAATAACATGGGCATATATTGTTACAAATATTGAAGATTGGGTCTAAGTTGTTTGACTCCATTACTAATATTTAAAAAATTCTATTTATGTCACACTTTTTCTATAGGATGTAATTGTAGAATAAATCTCACAATTTTATTTTGTGCTACTTGAAGTTTATTCTTTTTTGGTTTTTATATACCTTCATACCAGCGTGCACATGCATAATCAAAATGACATTGAATCAGAGAAGAGCACTATGATTGAAAATTTAGACACTCTTTGTTTCTATATAAAAATTCAAGCCTTTGATTAACTTTTTTCACTATAGAAATCATTGACAACAAAATCACCAGTCAGAAACTGATCAATTATAATTCCCAAATATTTTACAAAATTGTATTTGATAAGCAATAAAAGGGACACTACGATGTACTTATAAATGAACATGGATTATGTAGATCTATATTTGATAAGCAATAAAAGGGACACTACGATGTACTTATAAATGATCATGGATTATGTACATCTACCGGATATCCCCATCCCGTTACAAATCCAAACTATAGTCTATACAAGGATTTGTATAGTAGTATAATCCTTAGTCTATATGAATGCACCGCCTGAATTATAAATAAAAGGGGATGTGGGATATACACCCACATTAAGATCAAATGGCATCCCTATGAAAACACAACAACAAAAGACATGTAGAAGCCAATGTCCGGTCTTCAACAATTGAAAACCGTCCATACAAGAGGGTCTGGATGGGGGGTCCTTCATTTCTGTATTCTGAAATTTTTTAGGCCATTTTTCTCTATTCTTCATGCGTTTTGCCCATTATTCTCTAATCTTAATATTGAAGCACCTCATTATTCTCTTTTCTTTATTTTTTGGTCCATTTTTCTCTATTCTGTCAACTCCCATCCACACCCTCATACAACTGATGCAATTCTTCATCGCAGTTTTCCTTTGTTCAATTTTTTAATTTACTAAAATGATATCAGTGATAGAACTAATTGTCCTGCATATCAAATGCAACATTATGCACATATATTAGGAATAATTCTGTATACATATATGAGTCAACAACCAAGCCCAAACGACAAGGGCAATAAAATCAATCATAGTACGGACTTTAACATGACATGGAAACGTTTCTATACAATATTCCAAGATCTAATTGGAACTAGAACAGCAGAATAAATCTGTCATTAACAGATCCAGAGAGGAGTCCGGGCACATAACCTCACCCAACCCTAAGCATGTCTTCTGATTTATTTTTGACGAAAATTAGCCGGACAATCATAGGTCGTGGTCACATCTCCATACTTAATGTAATGCGCGTTGCATTGAGAATCGGCCGGATCTTGAGCTAAAGCAAAAGCAAATTTATACAGAATTTTATAAAATAAATCGTGTTTCAAATTATGAATAAGCAGATTGACATCATTATCATTGAACATCAACTGTTTTATTTAAATCTTTATCAATACGTCCATTAAGCCCAAATGAAAGTTTTTGAAGAATAGTTCCTTGGTAAACGAAATGCTTGTTTTCTTTACAATAATTCGATCCAGAATTTAAAACATAATTTTTTTTTCTTAATCTTGACATTAATCATTAATCTTCTGTCAAAGTTTCATAACAATCATTGAAGATTTACAAATTTGTCATGTTAAAGCATGAAATGTAATCCCAGATTGGCTGTATAAATGTTAACTGCTAAAAAGTGAGGCCATTCATCAGTAAAATACTGAAAATAAAAAAAAGCTTCAGACATTATCTCTTAAACATGAAAAAACCTTCTACCAAAGTTTCGTTAAAAAAAAGATGTGTAACAAACTTTAATCCCAAACTGTATCTACTTAACTACAAAAAAAAAACCTGGCTCGGTATAATACAGAAAAATAAAAAAAGACATCCTTATTTTGCTTTGGATGAGGTCTTTTGACCTCAAAAGCTTCTGTCCAACTTAAGTAAACCAAGTTGACGAAGATATTGATGACTGAAAAACTTCGATCTTAGACTGAATTTACATGTTGACTGTAAACAAATTAGTTCATTTATCAGTAAAATAAGACAAAATGAAAATATATATTTTCCAAATTTTGCTCTGGATTCCGTCTTTG